TTCCTCTCTACTGATTTGGATGCCCTTCATTTCTTTATCTTGTCTGATTGCTCTGACTAGGACTTCCAGTACTATGTTGAATAGTAGTGGTGAAAGTGGGCATCCTTATCTTGTTCCAGTTCTCAGAGGAAATGCTTTCAACTTTTCCTTGTTCAATACAATATTGGCTGTGGGTTTGTCATATATAGCTCAGACCATAGTGGAATAAAATTGGAAATAAACTACAAAAGGAACCCTCAAAACCATGCAAATACATGGAAATTAAATAACATGTTCCTGAATGATCATTGGATCAAGAATGAAATAAAGATGAAAACTAAGTGAACTGAATGATAATAGTGATACAACCTATCAAAACCTTTGGGATATGGCAAAAGTGATGCTAAGAGGAAAGTTCACAACATTAAATGCCTACATCAAAAAGTCTGAAAGAGCAAAAATAGACAACCTAGGGTCACACCTTATGGAACTGGAGAAACAAGAACAATGGAAACCCAAACCTAGCAGAAGAAAAGAAATAAGAAAGATGAGAGAATAGCTAAATGAAATTGAAACAAAAAATACATTTAAGTCTTTACTCCATCTTGAGTGAAGTTTTGTGTAAGGTGTAAGGAAGGGGTTCAGTTTCAATTTTCTGCATATAGCTACCAGTTTTCCCAGTACCATTTATTAAATAGGGAACCCTTTTCCCATTGCTTATTTTTGTCAGGTTTGTCAAAGATCAGATGGTCATAGATGTGTCGTCTTATTTCTGAGATCTCTATTCTGTTCCACTGGTTTATGTGTCTGTTTTTGTTCCAGTACCATGATGTTTTGGTTACTGTAGCTTTGTAGTATAGGTCAAAGTCAGGTAGTGTGATGCTTCCAGCATTGTTTTTTTGTCTTAGGGTTGTCTTGACTATACAGGCTCTTTTTTAAAATTTTGGTTCCATATGAATTTTAAAGTAGATTTATCTAATTCTGTGAAGAATGCCAATGGTCGTTTAATGGGAATAGCATTGAATCTCTAAATTACTTAGAGCAGTATGGCCATTTTAATGATATTGATTCTTCCTATCCATGAACACAGAATGTTTTTCTATTTGTTTGTGTCCTCTCTTATTTCCTTGAGCAGTGGTTTATAGTTCTCCTTGTAGAGGTCCTTCGCTTCCCTTGTTAGCTGTATTCCTAGACATTTTATTCTCTTTGTGGCAATTGTGAATGGGAGTTCATTTATGATTTGGCTGTCTGCTTGTTTCCTGTTGGTGTATAGGAATGCTTGTGATTTTTGAACATTGATTTTGTATCCTGAGACTTTGCTGAAGTTGCTTATTAGCTTAAGTAGCTTTTGGGCTGAGATAATGGGGTTTTCTAGATATAGGATCATGTCACCTGCAAACAGAGACAGTTTGACTTCCTCTCTTCCTATTTGAATATGCTTTATTTCTTTCTCTTACCTGTTTGGCCTGGACAGAACTTCCAATACAATGTTGAATAGGAGTGGCGAGAGAGGGCATCCTTGTCCTGTGCCAATTTTTAAGGGGAATGCTTCTAGCTTTTGTCCGTTCAGTATGATATTGGCTATGGGTTTGTCACAAATGGCTCTTTTTTAAAAATTTAACTTAATTTTAAGTTCCAGGATACAAGTGCTCATGAAAATCAAATACCAAGCTTGAGGAGGAAATGTCCTTCCCAGGGCCCTTTACAGGGTGGTATTTGCAAGCAAGCAGATTTACCTTTCCACTGGTCCACCTTCTTTCTCCTACTATCTGATTTGTTCTTCCTCAAGTATGCATTCTGTGGTAACCTTGGGCTTGTTCTCTTTTTGATAGTATCTGTGGATGATGGGAGTGCATCCAATGACCCATTTCCTGGCCTGGTTCCTGGAGAACATGGTTGTGTTGACCGTAAGCAGTGCTGCTCTGGCCATCATTCTGAAAACAAGTGGCATCTTTGCACACAGCAATGCTTTTATTATTTTCCTCTTTCTCTTGGATTTTGGAATGTCAGTCGTCATGCTGAGCTACCTCTTGAGTGCATTTTTCAACCAAGCTAATACAGCAGCCCTTTGCACCAGCCTGGTGTACATGATCAGCTTTCTGCCCTACATAGTTCTATTGGTTCTACATAACCAATTAAGTTTTGTCATTCAGACATTTCTGGTAAGTAAGTTGTTTTGTAAAAATACAAAATAAAACAAAACTGCAATCTATCTAACAAAACAAGACCAACCACCCTCACCTTTTCAATTTGTCATATTCATATCTACATGGGTTTTCTGATATCTGCTTTTAAAAATCTTATCCACAAATGTAAACCATTGAAACTGCAGTGTTTTTGCTGGACAGCAGCCCATTAAGAATATCCAGTTTTTACGTAACAGAGACTTTCTGCAGACTCTGGAAAATAAGCAGCATTCTTAAGGAAGCATATAACTTTATTTTCTCTTTCATGCATGGAAAATAATAGATTTCTAAAGATATTTTAGAAGCAAAAAATCAGCATTTTTTCTTGAAGCATTATGAATTACATCACATTGAGTAGAAAAATCTCTCCGTTAGCAACGTCAGAGTCACTCGTCCATTTAAAATGTACCTCCTAAAAAAGTATGGTAACACTTTCAGGTCTGTAACATCAAATACGTAGAACATAAAAAATGTATTCATTATTTTATGACAATTGCTGGCAAGCACAGTGCCTGAAACATAGTAGGAACTCAATCAAAGTGAGGGTGAACCATCTCTATGATCTCTTGAGAGAGCCAGTGGCATCACTGTAAACACTTGCACTGCGCTCAAGACTATTCTCTCCAGCAGGTCAAGTGACTTCCTAAAATTGCAGTCTGTTGAGAGATATGACAGAGTCTTAACAGAGACTTTGGGGAGATGTCAAAGAGACCTAGATCACAGGGCTGCTCGGGGTATTTAAAGGCCCTTAAAAGTCCTTTTGTCCAGCACAGGATTCATGAAAGCCCCAGTGCTTCACTCACTTATTGGGAGCAGAACACCTTCTCTGCTCATTTAGGGCCTAGAGTAAAATATTTACATGAAAGCCAACTGAGTTTTCTTCAACTTCAATAAATGATTCAAAGCTCTCTGGTTTCTACTAACCATGTACACACAACATAGATACACATGCAGAATGAAAAAGTGGTTATATTCCATCAGTGTTTTATCTATTGATATGTGTTCATTGGTGTTGATTGGCTTATGTCACATTTGTAAAAATTCATAACCAATAATTTCATATTAGTGTTAAGTAGATGTTTTCAGAATAATTAACACAAGTGGGACCATTCACGGTCCTTCCCCATATACTCCTTGTACATAGAAAAGGAGTCATCCACGATCTGACCTAATTTTCAAATGGTGGTATTTTTAATTTTACCTCGGTTCTTATATTTGTGGGTTCTATGCATATGAAATTTGATTTTCTTTTTACATATTCAAATGCTTTTTAGAAAATAAAAAATATCTAACTCTGGTACATTGTATTTTTTAATGTAAGATTTTTTTTAATGGGATTTCTTTCTAACACAAGACCTCTCCACTGAGATAAAATAACATTTTTCTTCAATACGCCTTCTTTCTAGTGTAGAATAGTGTATGTATTCCATCAGATAGCCTGCAGTATGCTCCAGGGCATTCACTTAATAATAAAAAATAGTAAATTGCTCTATTCCATTTTTCACTGTTTTGTGTTACACATTTCTGTGTATGATGCATTGGATTTATGACACTTCAAGCATCTCAGTAAAGAGAAATAATTCCTTTTAACGTTAAAAACTAGCTTGTTATCATGCTTTTCAGAGTGGACTGACATTCCACTATGTTTTTCAGATTAAAATATTTAAATGACTGCCTGAAGCGATGGTTGAGCGTCATCAGAATGAAAAGTTGTTACGACTTCTGTCTTTGAATTAAGTGTTGTGGATTTTCTGTGTCCCAATCAAACACTAACGTGCAGTTTTTCTTTTCACTCCATCAATCTGTGGGCAGTGCCTTCTCTCCACAACTGCCTTTGGACAAGGAGTATTTTTTATTACATTCCTGGAAGGACAAGAGACAGGTAAGAGCGTGCATGTGTAAAAAGTAACTCTCAGTGAATCACCTTTTTGGAAATTAATAGTTATATTGCAAGTGATCCAGTAGGAAGTCTTCATTATCAAGTAGAGCATTCAGAATGAGATTCGGATATCTGGTTTCACTGTTGTGTACACCTCCCACTGTCTGGTAGCCCCAGTTTTGAAAACATTTAAGAATAATCATGGCATCCCTTGCTTCAGACACTATCCAGGTCAACCACCCAGCCAATGCTCGGGTCTTCCTTATACCACCCCGATGTCGGGTCAGGTGAGTGACCTTCTGAATCTTCCAAGAGTAGGGTATGCAAATGTGTTCATCTGTTAGATCAGGGGTCCCCAACCCTTGGGCCATGGAGCAGTCCATGGCCTGTTGGGAACTGAGCCTTACAGCAGGAGGTGAGCAGCAGGCAAGGGAGAGAAGCTTCGTCTGTATTTACAGGCACTCTCCATTGCTCACGTTATTGCCTGAGCTCTGCCTCCTGTCAGGTCAGTGGGGGCATTAGATTCTCACAGGAGCCTGAATGTCATGTGAACTGTGCATGCAAAGGTTCACATAGGTGCATGTGTCACAAAGGTTCACAAACATGCAATAGGTTGCATAATCCTTATGATAATTTAATGCCTGATGATCTGTCACTGTCTCGCATCACTCCCAGATAGGACCGTCTAGTTGCAGGAAAACCAGCTCAGGGCTCCCACTGGTTCTACTTTATGGTGAATTGTGTAATTATTTTATTATATATTACAATGTAATAATAATAGAAAAAAATGCACAATAAATGTAATGCACTTGAATCATCCTGGAACCGTCCTCTATCCCCCAGTCTGTGGAAAAATTGCCTTCCACGAAACTGGTCCTTGGTACCAAAAAGGATAGTACTACTGTGTTAGATAATTGTTGACCTGGGATCTGTCTTCCTAGATCCTCTATCCGTGTTTTCTAGTTTCTCCTTTCTAATTATTCCTTTCACATGACAACCATCCACATATTTGTTGGCTCTCATCTTTACTCCTAGATTTACTAGATCATTCCTGAAGATCAGGATCCAGAAATAAGTCTAATCAGCATAAAATAGAGTGCAATTATCTCATACCAATGCAGCCTAAAATGATTTTCTAAAAATCTATTGGCAGCATTTTTTGCTTATATTGAGAATTTGACAACCAAAATTCTAAACCAGAACATACATATATTTCATAGATATTAGTGTGGTTTTGCGGGGGAAGGGGGTGTTTTTGTAAACAGAGGTAAAACACATGCTGTAAGTAAAATTTGACTCTAGCTATTGTTGTATTAGCCAGTTAATTTGTACTGGTCTTTGAGTTCTTAGAGTTTTTCAGTAAGACATATTAAAATGTTCTTTTACAGATGAGTAATCCTGAATGATTTCTTCTAACTAACCTTTAGAATAAATTGAATCAAGATGATAGAAACAAAAAATGGTCACTGTTAGACCATTTGAATGTTTTGGTCTAAATTCCAAGAACACAATGATTAAAAAATGTATTTTATTGAACTGTAGCCTGGTACCATAGGGAAATTTAGAAAGGGGAATATTTTTCTTAAATTATATGTTAATCCAGAAATAAATCACAAACATATTATAAGAAAATAATAATTCTTTTCCACCCTAGTTCTTATATATCCTATCTATGTATTTTCCAAGAGCACAGAGAGTTACACAGTTTAGAATTTGGGTTCTCAAGGAGACTTTAAAAATTTTTTTTGAATGCTGATTTTCCTTAAATACAAAGTCCTTTCTACTCAGTAAATAAAACTAGATAGGAGTAAGGTGATCTTTAAAACTTTTTAAAGTATTAGATATTAAAATGTAGTTAATGATCACCCCACCTGGTATCATTGAAATAGGTGTAAGATTGCACAAGTTAACATTTCATTTGAAGAGTTATGGCCAGTGGTATTGACCTTCTTTATGTTTTAGTTCTATTCAACTTTACTTGAGCTTCCAGAAGTAATGAACTCATTGTGACAAAATCTACTGTAAAAGAGCTTGTGCAGTTCTAACTCTGACCTTTTTCTTCCTGCTAGGGATTCAGTGGAATAATATGTACCAGGCTCCAGAACAAGGGGGCATGACATTTGGCTGGGTTTGCTGGATGATTCTGTTGGATTCAAGCCTTTATTTTTTCTGTGGATGGTACTTGAGCAACTTGATTCCTGGTAAGAATTTTGCACTTTATAAGATAACAAAATAAATTTTAGAAACAGTTTGAATTAATATGCACAAATATTAGAATAATCATTTATTTTTTAAGGAAGATCCAGAAAGGGAAGCCTTAGAATATATTTTAAAAGGAGCAGTACATTTTTGGAAAAAATGTGATGCTTTTGTTTCCTGAGTGGAAGGTGAAAGGCCATGTGAGGGGTTAGCCAGGATGAAATAAGCATGAAAACTCACCAGGCCCACCAAACAGCTCCCAACAAGTGGATTTCAGTCTACACAGAAAATATCCTGGTTTCCTAGATAGAGTGTTTCCCAACACGCATGAGGGGTGAGGGGCAAGAGAGCCTGGGGGCCCTTGGTGCTGCAGACTCCCAGACAGCAAAGAGGTCAGGTGGGGTGGGGGTGGGGGTGCTCAGAGTGCCTTGGGCAGAAAGTCACTTCTAGTGGGGGTCTAGGGGCCAAGCGCTCAGCCAGTGGCAGGTCGGCAGGTGGCAGGACCTGGGGAGAAGCAGGTAAAGCCTAAAGGCAGCTAGATAGGGTGGGCTGGGAGTGAGGGGCCATGTCCAACCACAGGGCTTTCAGTGTTGTCACGGATATGGGGTTTCCCAAATGTGGCACACTTTTTTCCTGGTGTGGCAGGCATTCCCCAGAGGTCTGGAGGACAAGTGTATCAATGGTTAAAAAAACAAACAAACAAACAAAAAAACCCACTAATGGTAATGGGTTTTCTTAGCTGTTTTGGGAGGAAAAGAGGCATGCATACTTTACCTTTTTGGTTCAGGTCCAAAAGAGCAGAAATAGCACTTTAAAATTATTTATTTTATTTTTTAGAGATAACACTTTAATGGTGGTGTATTTTCTTACTGAAATTACTTGCAACCTGGTTCTATGCTTTTCAAGGCAAATAGCATCTAACTAAATTAAAATTAAAAATGTAAAAAAAAAAGATTCTAATCTTACACAAATGAAAATGGAGGGATAGAAGGAAAACAAACACTGTTCATTCTGTTTGTGAAAACACATTCCAGACTTGGAGAGCTCATGAATCATTTAGGGATGGGTAAACATAAAAATAATATGGGTCACTGAAAAGATCATTTTACACAAAAGTAGGAATATATGGCCCTCAAGAGGTAGAGAGAGAACATAAATTGGAAACGTGATTTATTTAGGAAAAACTTAGACTGCATCGTCTTGGTACTTTGAATAAAATTTAAGAAAACAAAACTTAAGAAATAAGATTCTAGGAAATAAGAGATAAAAAAAAATGAGTTGAGAAGGCCAAGGGTTAGGAAATTGGATAAGAAGCAATTGACTATTGAGAAGAAGCAAAAATAACATAAGACAGTAATGTTACAAAATACATCTGTGATATCAATTTAAAATGCAAAAGACCAGCAAAAAAAGTCTACTCTCTGCAATGTTGAGATGAAGATAAAATGTGTCCTGGGACCCAGAATGATCTGATTTCTCCCTCAACCATCAGCATCTAAGGCAAGAGGCTCCTAGGGGTAGTATTTTTCTACATTATAGTGAAGCAAAGGTACATTGTATTCAGCTGAGACTTTCGCTCTGAATCCCACTGTGGAATTCTAAATTGAAAAGTTTTAAAAGAGACTGAGCCTTGAGGTGGATGTCTGGTGTGCAGAGGGTTCACTGTCTAGGTCATATTTGAATGGAAGAAAAGGGAATTGGGGGTACACTCATGGAAGAAGGTAATTGAACTCAGAAAAACTGAGTGATGGTGGGAATGTCCCCACCAGTGGGACAGTATTGAGTCATTCCCTATCCTGTGGGTCAGGGGATGTTCGGCTAAGCTGGTGGCTTTTAAGAAGAAATTCTTTCTAAAAGTTCAGTGAGGTTAACTTGAGGCTCAGAAGAAATTTAAAAAAATCGTTTTCCTCAGGGGACCAGGAGATTCAAATACTGGATTTGGTAATCTTTTGGAAGTACCTTGGCCGTCTGAACCATGCCACATTTGGAACTCACGTATATTCGACTGGGGAAACCATCATCTTCTGTTCCCTCTTTCATCTCCTCCTGTCCTTCCATTTCTTCAGACTCCTAATTCCCTGCCCTCCCATTAGGTTAAGGTTAAACCAACAATCCACCATCTTCATACACTCACGCCACAATCCTGCAGTCTCACAACATGGCTCATGATTAACATCTACCCAATATGTAAAAATTGAGCTGCTTCAGAGTCAGCTCTTACGATACCACATCCAACTGGAGAAAAAGATCTCCTGATTTTACTTCGCAAGTCTCCCTTAAGTTCACTTGGATGTACCTTTTCTAGGGAATGTCTCCATGTTTTCATCAGGCCACACAAAGTGTTCTGTGACCTCTAATGAATTACGATTCCCAGCTACATTGGATCCTACACCCTGCAAAGGGAAGCAGTGCAGGAGGCCCTCAATCCACCTCTGAATGGCAGACACTCGTTTCAACATTTTGTTTAGTGAATTAAGAGTGGTGGGTTTTATATTTTCTCTTTGTGATTGTAACACTAATTTTACCTACCAGCTAGTAAGGAAAAAAGATCAGAGTCTATTACAGAATTAAAAAAAATCAAAGCTTGAACATATTTATAACACATATTTAAAAATACAAAGGCATAGAGCTGAATAAATATGTCAATAAAGATTTTTGAATTTATCACAGAATTCAGATTCTTTTATTTCGAAAGCTAAAAATAAGAGTTGACAATTTGCATATTCCCAAATTGCTCGAAGTATTTATTTTCCACTTTGACAAAGTCTGCCGATAATAACAAGGAATAAAATTGCCAGACACTATTGATGGGCTTTCAGATCCATAAAGAGGGTTATAATTTCTAGGAGCTCTCAGACCCAATACCTTCTTTTTAACACAAATATTTTATATTACCTCCTTTACTCTCTTGAAATGAAACTTATAGATAATGAAAACTACCCGTGTATGAGTCTTAAAATTAATGTAATTTTAAAATTTAGTATAAAAGAGAAATAGAAAGTAATTTATAATAAGATAACATGTAAATTATCAGTGCTCAGGCAAGAATTCATTAGAACACAGAACGAGATATTCAGCTGCTTACTTTTATTTGGAATAAGTTCGGATTTAAAAGAAGGAAAATGGTTGGAAGCCATTTGGTACTAAAAGGAAAGAAAATGCACAAGTAAAGAGAAATGTAGACACTAGAAGTAAAGCTAATGTTAAGTAGTACTAGATCAGATTTATTGGTATATGATTAAAAGGTGAAAATAACTTCAACTGAAGTAGGAAAAATGTGGGAAGAAATGTTATACACTAATGAGGTGAATAAAATAATGATATTTTTGTAAATGACCTGGATCTTACTTAAAAGTAATAAGGAAAATTCCCTATGTTAACACATGGGGCAGGTAATGACAAAACATAACAGAAGATCCATTTCCTGTCTTATGATTCTGTCTCATTTCAGTCTCTCCATTCAGCCTCCAGTCTTTTAAAGACTTTGGAGATCTATTCTTTAGTAGTGACAGGAAATAGAGGACTGATTGGACAAAGGAATAATATTAATAATATGAGAGGGTTTTATAGAGAAGCCAAGGGAACAGCATCAAAATAAGATTGAAAAGTAATAGGGAGCCTCATGTTAATCATTTCAATGTGTAATTTTTACCAGATGGTCTTATTTTGCTATACAGTTTAAAAAAAAATATATATATAGAATGACAATATAACATAGTTACTAACCCTTATTAATACAATTTAGTACATTTTCTGAATTTCTACTAATTTAAATATATCTGGTTTTAAGTTTATTTAAAGCAATCTTCACATCTTTTGTCATGTATTTGGGTATAATGGGGCAGAATGAAGATTGATACAGTCATACTGCATTGCAAACTTGAAAGCAGTGAGTGACATCACTATTGATGGCATGGTTTTCCAAAACAATGAACAATTTCTACTTTAAACACTAGTCTTCCACTGGTTTACACAGTGGTTGAATTTCTGACAAATTTAGTGTATACTGAAACTGCATAGAAACTTTGAGTTTATATGTGCTAGGCTCAATAACCATGCAACACTTTGCATTTGCACAACTGGTCAGGCTCACAGAAGGCAAGTCAAGGACATTTCTTTGTTGCACTTTGGAGGATATTGACTAACCCAGGCATCTGCACCCTAAAGACAATTGTACCATCCCCATTGTATTAATCCTACTTTTTTATTTTCTGTATTTCTGAGGCTTTGACTGGAGTTGAAGGCGTGCAGTTACTGACCCTAGAGGGACTGTTCCTTCCAGGGATAGCCAGTTCCTAGCCATAGTGAAGGACTCACCTGTGGATGTGCCTTTCACATGCAAACCAATCCAGAGCCCACACCCCTACCACTATGGGATGCTCACACTCAGGGCCACTGTCTACCTGGCCTGATGAGCCCAGGGCAAGGTACCAGCCAACTAGGCACAGATTCTCTCCCCAAGAGCCTGATGAAATTACTCACACTAGTTAATTAGAAATGTACTTGCCCTTCCTCACATGTTGCTTCCCTTGGAAACCACAGTAAAGGCTTTTGTTCACATTCCTAGAACACCCCTCCCTACTTCCCCTGTCTCCTGACTGACACTGGTGCTTCCCTGTGTGACCCTGTGTGGTGTGTCGTGCCTCCTTCTCTTGGGGTCTGTAAGTAACAAAGTATAGTTGCAATGACAGTTAGTTCCTGATTTGTTGGCATCATCATACTTGAGTAATAATAAAATCTACATTGTAAAACACTGTTCCAAAGTCTCCTGTGGGTAGGAGGGTGTCTCCAGATGGGAGGTATGAGACAGGTGAGAAATTTCTCTCTTTTGCTCTCTGTCTCTCACACACACACACACACACACACACACACACACTCCATACCCCAAACAAATGCTTTTCTCTCCATTTTCTTTCTTTGTTATAAAGTGACCCGGTGAGTATGACCCCAGCATTTCTCAGCCCCGCTGTCGACTGGGAGACTCTATAGATCCAGCATCAAA